CCCTCCAGTGCGGCCCCCCGGCGGGCTCCTGGATCAGCTGCTGCCCGCCACGCGGCCCACAGCTCCAGCCCTGGGGAGGTCTGACGCCAGGGCCAGGGCCGCAGGGTGGCTGGGGAGGGGCAGTCTCCGGCCATGGGGCCCCGCCTGGAGCAGCCCCTTCATGGCTCTTCAGAGGAGCTGGGTGGGTCTCATCCTGGGGGGGGGCCCGGCTCGGGGGGGCCACCCAGGCGCTCACCTTACAGCAGGGTCGGCAGCGTCCCAAAGCAAAGAGCCAAACGCCATCCAAAGTCAGAGCACGTTGCCCGGCGAGCCCCGAGAACGCCCGTCGGCCGGCCGGACCCTACGCGACTTCACAGCATGGGGATTGACCCGGTGACTAAGAGCATCCGCGAACCATTGCCCCGGCTGGCTGCACGTCATGGGCCGGCTGCGGCTGCATCTTTTCCCACCTGTCTTTGACATTTGTATCAGAACTGTCGAACCCAGGGTCATGCAGCATTCCAGCCGCACGCGTAAGGGCGTCTTTGAAAATTTGGAATTCATTTTTCATTTTAAATAAAAAAGTGGCCTGCTTTTCGGGAATGACAAAAGCGCCATGGCTTGGTTCCATACTGAGCTGTGTCTGGCTCCAGAGCCATAGGTTGCAGGCCCCTGCTATAGAGGGAGTCCTGGCTCCCAGCTGCCCCTCGCTCTCACCACTAGACCCCACTCCCCTCCCTGAGCCGGGGACAGAACCCAGGCATCCGACTCTTCCAAATATCATAAAATCCCCAGGTGCGATACTTTAGAAACAGATCTGTTTAATGTCTGTACAAAGCCTGTGGGTTGGATGCCAAAGGACAGGGGTGGATGGTGTCACAGCTGGTGGGGGCAGCCGAAGGTGGGGGGTTCCAAGGGTAGAGAGGGGCCAGGACTGCACGCTCCCCCCTCTCTCTGCCCCCTGCTCAGGACTGTTGAGAGAATCGGCTTCATGATGCTGCTGGCTCCATCCAGCCCCCCAGGCTCAGCTCGAGAGGGTGTTGGGGGTGAACATGGTCACTGCACCTGGGGGAGAGCAGACTGGGGTTCAGGGCGGTGTTGGGAGCAACACCCATAGCGACCATATTTCCCTTTGCTGAAGAAGGGACACCTGGTAAAATCACCCGGGTTCAAGTGAATTCTCTGGCAATCAGCCACGACGCCGTCCTAACGGTCAGGGTAGGGTCACCTGGACAGAGGCCTTGTTGAAAAGAAATTCTGCAGCCCTGGAGTCATCGGCTACGTCTAGACTGGCATGATTTTCCGGAGTGTGTGTTGCAGGATGTTTGCAGGTTTGCATTTCAGACTAAGCTTGTAGGGTGTGAATAGGGTGCTAAACCCCTCCCCGCCCAGTGCCAGAAAAGCTTCCCCAGGCCAGCACTGGAGGGGGAAGGGGATGCAGGGCTTGACTTCTTGGAACCAGCACCCCTGACCAGAGGGCCTTCGGATTTCCTGGGGGTAGGATTACCAGATGATTTAAAACAAATACTGGACACACTTGATCTCAGATGGGGGGTGGGTAGCGGGGCTGGCTGGGAGAGATGGAATGGGGAGGTGGGGGAGA